AACGATATCGAGCTAAGAGCTACGATTATAACTTCTCAATTTCATATGTATATTACATTAATTCCGAGCTGTGGGAGGAAGGGTGGGCTCGGGCGCAGGTTTTTCGTCACACGTGGCGAAAAGCTTGCGCAAATTGTAAGTGCCTTTTGTTCTAACTTGCACTTATCTTTAAGACAATTTTTTAACTTGTTACATATTAGATTGTAGTAGTAGCCTATCATTTTTATTGTTAATTGCTTCAAACTTAAAAGAAAGTTCTTCCAACTTTCTTCTTGAAACATTTTCTTTACAAAGTTTTAGATTATACGAGGGCAATTTTAGAACAAAAGGCACAGTTAGGGATTTTATAATATGTGTATTGTAGTATGAGTGAGTGTGTGAAAGTATAGGATGCAGGACCTATTCATTTCATTGTAGGATCACAGAGTTTTTCAAATTCTAAATGATTTTATTTTTCGCAAACTTTCTTTTGTTTTAGTAGAAAGTTCTTCTAACTTTCTTAGTTTCTAGTAGAAAGTTCTTCTAACTTTCTTTTGTTTTAGTAGAAAGTTCTTCTAACTTTCTTAGTTTCTAGTAGAAAGTTCTTCTAACTTTCTTTTGTTTTAGTAGAAAGTTCTTCTAACTTTCTTAGTTTCTAGTAGAAAGTTCTTCTAACTTTCTTTTGTTTTAGTAGAAAGTTCTTCTAACTTTCTTAGTTTCTAGTAGAAAGTTCTTCTAACTTTCTTTTGTTTTAGTAGAAAGTTCTTCTAACTTTCTTAGTTTCTAGTAGAAAGTTCTTCTAACTTTCTTTTGTTTTAGTAGAAAGTTCTTCTAACTTTCTTAGTTTCTAGTAGAAAGTTCTTCTAACTTTCTTTTGTTTTAGTAGAAAGTTCTTCTAACTTTCTTAGTTTCTAGTAGAAAGTTCTTCTAACTTTCTTTTGTTTTAGTAGAAAGTTCTTCTAACTTTCTTAGTTTCTAGTAGAAAGTTCTTCTAACTTTCTTTTGTTTTAGTAGAAAGTTCTTCTAACTTTCTTAGTTTCTAGTAGAAAGTTCTTCTAACTTTCTTTTGTTTTAGTAGAAAGTTCTTCTAACTTTCTTAGTTTCTAGTAGAAAGTTCTTCTAACTTTCTTTTGTTTTAGTAGAAAGTTCTTCTAACTTTCTTAGTTTCTAGTAGAAAGTTCTTCTAACTTTCTTTTGTTTTAGTAGAAAGTTCTTCTAACTTTCTTAGTTTCTAGTAGAAAGTTCTTCTAACTTTCTTTTGTTTTAGTAGAAAGTTCTTCTAACTTTCTTAGTTTCTAGTAGAAAGTTCTTCTAACTTTCTTTTGTTTTAGTAGAAAGTTCTTCTAACTTTCTTAGTTTCTAGTAGAAAGTTCTTCTAACTTTCTTTTGTTTTAGTAGAAAGTTCTTCTAACTTTCTTTTCTTTTTGTAGAAAGTTCTTCTAACTTTCTTTACTTGTTGACGGAAAGTTCTTCTAACTTTCTTCCCTTTGCTTTTTGAATTCGTCATAGATCATATGAGTGCAATCTTAGAATGAGAGGTACCATGCGGCGTTTAGAATAAGTTAAGCGTATGTGTGTGGCATGCCATACGATTAGTATTAAGTTAATGTATGTGTGTGTGTGTGTAATACAAGTTCTTTACTGGATTGTGGTAAAGAACTTGTATATGCGAGCCTATGAGCTAAGTAGAGTCAGAACTCATTTATCCTTCTGATAAATGAGGTTGCATTTGGAGGGTGGAAGGGATTTGGAGTTAGGGTGGGTCACTATCGTAGCAACCTCCACGTGGTGTGACCTGGTAATCGATATAGTTTTCTAAACATTTTTTAAAAAATGGACTTTAGAAAACGATATCGAGCTGATAGCTACGAATTAAATTATAATTTCATTTGCTTTACATTTTGGATCAAATAAGCATATATTACAAGTTCCATACTTATCCAAATTTAGAAGATTTACAAATCTTATAATAAAACGCAAATCTTTGCAAAATTAGATGAGCAAAACTACTTTCATGTCAATCTCAAATAATTTGAAATATATTTTAATAAATTTTCTGTACATTACTAATATTATCTTTTCAGGTATTTTTATCAATTTTACGGCGTGGAAAAGTTGAGAAAGAAAAGAATATACCAAAGTGATTGCTCTACAAAATATATTTGGAGGTATGTATTGGGAATGGGTATTACAAATAACTTATAGAAAATTTATTTCCCAAAAAAACTTTATTTCTCAAGAAATTACAGATGAATATGTTACAGAGATATGACAAAATATTTATTACAACTAAATGACTAGTGAATATGCATGTTCAAACTGCTCCTTTTTGACCGCCATACTTCTACACTATGCGCATGCGCACCCACGCTTCTTTTGATTTGGGCATTTAATTTGGTTGTGTCTTCTGTCTCTCTCTAAGAGGTAAGTTTCCTTGTCTAGTTTCGCTTCTTGATATATCTACTCTTTGATAATACTGCTTGCAGTTAAATGACAGTGGCAGCACTGTGTTTTATGGCGGGCGTTTTTAAAAGTGTGCCATTCTGCAATCTTTCAGGATGCATCCATCAACAAAATTGATCAATTAACTTCTGTTTTAACATGTAAGAAAAGATATATATATTCTTCTAATTTACAAGGAGTATTTCTAAAGAAAAAGATTCCTTTTTTATCTGACATCGTCGATAACTTTCAGAAGTACCGCCATACTATATAGAGGGCGCCACGAGTTTATGCAAACGAGACTGCAGTACTCGTCGGTATTTCAGTGCGGGTGAGCTGAAGTGTCATAAGGTGATCAGTCTACTGTGCATCTCGTTCGTGGTGACATCGCTGTTGCTCAGTGAACGTCGTTGCTCGCGTTGGAACGGTTTGTGCTGTGATGTTTGTTGGTTCAAATACGAGTCGATCTTGGACGCGCAATTCGGCAGGAACGAATTACCGCGTGTTTATACAGCGTTCTAACGAACACACAACGAGGACAAGAATGTCGATCAAGGAGTGGATCGGTGAACGTTAGATGCGAAGACATTTTGGACGAATCTGGACAGGCGACACTCGAGGGAAAGGCTGTGAAATATCCTGGCGCCAAATCGCGAGGGGGTAAGTGAATTCCTTAAAATGGCACAGATTAAAGTTAAGGTTAGGTCCTTTCAACGAAATTTGTCAAACCATAAACATTTATTTCCCATAATTTTATCGCGTTACAATCTTATAAGAAATGTCACCCGGAATGCAATTTCGTATTGCATAATTGGCGCGTTAAATAACAACGAGACAGTTTGATATCCGTTGAAAACTGTAAGGTTTTAAGTAATTGCATATTGTATACCGTTACCGAAGTTATGCCGTGCATAACGTTGTTATATAAACAAAAAGGGAAACTAACATTCGCGATTGCGATATGATTAATCCTGACGCTGCGCTGTAGTGGTTTATGACATATTGTTGAGCTTTCGTTTCCATGTACAGGTACATATGTTCATATTAACTTCTTGAATTTCAAAACTTATATTGCAAATATATTTTGTTTGCATACATCAAATAACAAATTTTCGAAGGCATACAATAATGTACGTGATTATGTTGTCACACTTTAAGTAATGAATTACGAGTGCAATTAAACTTACACGTACAATACTTCCTGTCTCCGATCTTGATTACGAGTCGTCAGCATTCTTGACTGAAAGCGATTGTTTTTATTCCACTGCGCTTTATCAACGAGTAAGATGATATCTGTAGAAAAGCTGAAGGTCTCGAAATTTAATCTTACATATATGCATTATGTAGACGTAAAGTCGAATGGTTTATAATTTACTATTATCGTAATACACTATTATGAAATATAACGTAAACAAAATTTCCAGATAATAATCGTATTATTTGTTTTATCTCGATTGAAACTTTTCAGGGAAAGCTATATTTTCGCACTCTCACTTGTGCAAGAGGAAAGTGATGCGTTAAGTTCGATGACTTCCATTGACATAATAGTTTCGAATTACATCACAATCGTCGCAATGTTTGAAATATATTACTGATAAAGTTTAATTAGTAAAGTAAAGACTCCGATTAAAAATAAAGAGGTCAACAAATTATTCGACGTATATAATTTAGAATTAATGAATGAATGCGATATATTTTTGCAGTTCGATTTGTATTTCAACGTGCTTTCTCTACGCGTTGCGTCTTCACGCATCGCTCTAAGGCGACATGTTGCTTAGCGTGTTTCAACGTGTTGTTTCGCCTCGCGTTATTTAGCCACGTGCCATATCCCAAGTGCAGTTCCGTTGCATTTCAACACGTTGCATCTCACCGCGTATAATTTCAACACGTTGTATTTCAACACGTTGCGTTTCAATCAGATAATATCGCAAGTGTCATGACGTGTGTATACATGGTACAACGCGTGTACGTTGCGTACCTTTGTTAGGTCGTGAAATGCACACGCCGCGTGTGTATCGCAGACGATTTTGGCTCAATGCTCAACAATATATTCACAAAGTGGCTGCTACTCATGAATTCGTCTCCGACCGACCAATTGGACGACTCGCGATCTATAGTAAATATCCGGCTACTATTATTAAGTTTGTCCTTAACGATCGTTACGGGTATCGTCTCGCTACCATTAGCTGTCGTCGTACGAATGGCACCGGACCCGTTTACGGAGTCCGCGAACCTATCAGTTAGTGATCTTGTGTCCGTGTGTTTACGTCATTCCTTTTAAGTGGCTCCAGGATCGGAAGTCTCTCGGGATTATATAGCTTTTTCGACGACATCCTGGGGGAATCGTGTCGTAACGATCCTGTGTAGGTAAGCTCCCGATAACGTGTACGAATCGTGTCACGATATATTAGAAGTAAAACGCTGAACACGATAACATCGATTCGTGATCGAATATCGAGTTTTATCGTGACCATCACGATTAGTAATTGAAATATTATATGTCTTCGATTATCTGACAATCACATTGAGAAGGTTATATTTTTAGAGCCGTTTGGCAAGATACGCATAGGTGCATCTTCGCGTTTCTAACCGATCTTCCGGATGAATCATTTCGATATACCTGCGTTTCGGAAAATCGTGTGGTATTACACGGAACAACACTTTCTTGAATGATGCTAATAAGAACGCTTTGGGCACCACTGCCAAAATGTGCTAGGCCAAATCATAATTCTTGCAATTATTCAATTGATGACCTTTTGAAAAGTTCAAAGAGGAATAAAATTAATATTGGTTTGAAACGCGAAGTCTGAATCAAGCTAAATAATACATGTAAAGTTATCGTGATGGGATTCCTTGAATTGATAAATGTTTATCATTCCCAGGAGATCAAAATTCGTTCAGGTTGTTGTTCATAGTTACGAGACCTGTATCAATAAATAATTTAGTACCGTCCAACAGGTACACTTAGCCAGCGTTCGCGCTCATTACCGCGTCATTGTTTTACTCGCATAACGCATTATACATACGTGATTAACTTATATGTATATCATATAATTTGTCATATCGAACGCCAACGCCCAGCTAGATAAGGGATCGATCTACCTATACGAATTTAAGAGTGGAGCGTTTTAAGATAATTAGTTTCGAACATTATTTGCTTGCGTTACCAAATGTGGTAATCTTGTAACGCCCGAATATATTGATACAGACAGATGGGCGATCTTTTGCAATAGCATTATCGGGAAATATCGAAGGAATAATTTATATTTTTACGGATGATTTCAAGTTGAATTTCAATTGAAAAAGTATTGAATGTGCTGGAAACTTAAAGTTTGTTATGCAACTTCATTGATGGCAATATAGTAAGAGATGTACTGAATGATTAAGGAAACTTTAAGCAATTTAATATATTGCCAATTTCAAAAGTTTACTGTCTTTATATCGCAAGCGGCTATATAACAAGAGTGTATTGAATAATTTCAAAATTAAGAAACTTTGATCAATCTGATATATTGCCAAATCCATGAAGTTTACTGTCTCTATAATCTTATTGATGGCAATATAACAAGAGTCTACTTTATGATTTCATAATTAATAAAACTTATTAGCCAACACAATATATTGTCAGCTCCCACAATTTACTGTCTCTGCAATATCGCAAATGGCAATATAACAAGAGTTTACTGAATAATCTCAAAATTAAGAAACTTTGACCAATCTAATATATTGCTAAATCCATAAATTCTGCTGTCTCTATAATCTTGTTGATGGCAATATAACAAGAGTCTACTTATGATTTCATAATTAACAAAACTTATTAGCCAACACAATATATTGTCAGCTCCCACAATTTACTGTCTCTGCAATATCGTAAGTGGCAATATACCAAGAGTCTACTAAATAATTTCGAAATTAAGAAAACTTTGACCATCTAGGTATATTGCCAACATTAGGAATTTACTACGTCTGCAATATTGTCAATGGCAATATACCAAGAGTCAACTGAATAATCTCAAAATTAAGAAAACTTTGACCCTCTAGGTATATTGCCAACATTGGGAATTTACTACGTCTGCAATATTGTCAATGGCAATATAACAAGATTCTACTGAATAATTTCAAAATTAAGAAAACTTTGACCATCTAGGTATATTGCCAACCTTAGGAATTTACTACGTCTGCAATATTGTCAATGGCAATATACCAAGAGTCTACTGAATAATTTCAAAATTAAGAAAACTTTGATCATCTAAGTATATTGCCAACATTAGGAATTTACTACGTCTACAATATTGCCAATGGCAATATAACAAGAGTCTACTGAATAATTTCAAAATTAAGAAAATGTTGACCAAACCATATACAGCCAACTCCAAAAATGACAATACTTGATATTATTTTGCAATCTTGCCAGTGGCGATATAACAAGAGCGTCCTTATCTCAGTAATACAAAAAATTAGCGAAATTAAATGCTTCCTAATGAAATCGTATAAAAGCAGTAATACATCACAGGTTGATTCTTACGTAAATATAAACATGTACAATTTCCTGATTGGTTATCTTATCAATATAATAATTGACTGTCGTCGAAGCCGCATTGTTACCTTTCAAATTATAATTGCAAAGTTTCCGTTGGCCACGGCGAGTAACGGCAAGGTTTCGTATAACCAGCCAAGTAGGCTTATTATTCGCATCCTTCGTCTCGTTTTACCTCTCTTTTAGGATCACCATACGGCGTATTATACGCGACGTACCTACTCGAATTTGCATCTTTGTTCAGTGAAGTAGCACGCTGCACGTCGTTGCACTTACCGGAGAATGTTCAGTGTTATGCCGGTGCACGCCCACGCGTGCACGCCAGATAAAACGATGGCATATGTTCGTTGAACGTTACCGGAAAGTGGGACACTCTTGGCTGACCATGAATTTCTTGTTAAGCTTCGAAGATTTATGGTTAAGCGTCCTATCGTGTTGCCTGGAATCTAAATAGAGGATTAATTTCAATGACTCCGCATTCGCCATTTTGGAACTAATTTATGTCGTACAAGGGGTGTAGGAACTTGTAATTTGTACACCAGTTATTTTTACTTTTAACCATATACGGTAGTGTATTAACAGATTAAATAGAAGTGTCTCTAGAAAGGGAGAACTTGTTAGGCTCTCCGTAAGTTTCTTTGCATTCACAGATTCAAAACTTCGAAGTCGAATGTCTCAGAGCAGAACTTGTCTCAGCACAAAAATTGTAAAGTTCCAAAGTACCAAAGTTTCAAAGTTTCAAATATAGTATTTGTCTTTAAAAGATACGATAGTTATGCCACAAAGGTAAATTTCTATGCGGCATTCGTATCATGTAAATCGATAATTCTCACCTTCGTCGCGGGCCACCGGTTGAGGACCGCTGTACAAAAGTAAATCTGATGATCGATGGACACTATCCAATAGCCCGACACAGATCGATACAGTTCTGAAACTCAATTCCGTGACGAAATTGGAATGTCGTGTTGATTGTTCGTTGAGCAAAGTTATCGGGACTTCACCGTTGTGCATTGTGTTCAGCTCATATCGCGGTTACACGACACTGAAATTCTTCGTAACGTGTGTATTTTAACGATCGCCTCGCGCTACAAAATTATTGCAACGGTACTGTGCGATCACTGGATTTCAGTATTATACACTGAATTTCAAATATCGATTATATTTCTTTACGTCGCTGTTATTATCAAATTATGCAAATTTGTTGGTAGTAAAAAAAGTTATTTCTTAAATTACCGATTTCACTAATCATGGTTAGTTGGTAACGCTAAAAAGCGGATCGATTACTATTCCGTTTATGTACCGACGATTCGACACGCGATATCGAGTGCTCTAAATCTTTGCGTGATCTCGGATATAATAGCGCTGATCGCTCACGCGATATCGAACGTATAGTTTTTATATGTTCATACATTTCGAGTGCTTTGAACTCTGAGTAATTATAGATTTTTGTGCTCATAGATTTTGAGTGCTTTGAAATTTGAGTACTCGTAGATTTCGAGTACTATAAATTTTGAGTGCTCATAGGTTTCGAGTGCTTCAAGTTTTTAATGCTCATAGATTTTGAGTGCGTTGGAATTTTGAGCGCTTATAGATTTCTAGTGCCGCAAATTTTGAGCGCTCATAGATTTTGAGTGCGTTGGAACTTTGCGTATTCATAGATTTCGAGTGCCTCAAATTTTCGGCGCTTTTAGATTTTCAATGTGTTGGAATTTTGAACACTCATAGATTTTGAACTCCTCAAATTTTGAACATTTATAGATTTTGAGCACGTTGGAATTTTGAGTACTCATAGATTTAAAGTGCCTTGAATTTTGAGCATTCATAAATTTTGAGTTCGTTGGAATTTTTAGTACGCGTAGATTTTAAGTGCCTTGAATTTTGAGCATTCACAAATTTTGAGTACGTTGGAATTTTTAGTACGCGTAGATTTTAAGTGTCTTGAATTTTGAGCATTCATAAATTTTGAGTTCGCTAAAATTGTTATTATTTGCAGATTTTAAGTGTCTTGAATTTTGAGCATTCATAAATTTTGAGTTCGCTAAAATTGTTAGTACGCGTAGATTTTAAGTGTCTTGAATTTTGAGCATTCATAAATTCTGAGTACGTTGTAATTGTTATTATTTGCAGATTTTAAGTGTCTTGAATTTTGAGCATTCATAAATTTTGAGTTCGCTAAAATTGTTATTATTTGCAGATTTCAAGTGCCTTGAATTTTGAGCATTCATAAATTTTGAGTTCGCTAAAATTGTTATTATTTGCAGATTTTAAGTGTCTTGAATTTTGAGCATTCATAAATTTTGAGTACGTTGAAATTTTGAGTTCTTATAGATTTCAAGTGTCTTAAATTTTGAGCATTCATAAATTTTGAGCGTGTTTGAATTTTCAGTACTCATAGATATCAAGTGCCTTGAATTTTGAATATTCATAAATTTTGAGCGCGTTAAAATGTGAATGTTCAAAGGGTTTGAGTGTCTTGAGCTTTGAATATTCATACAAGTCATCTCTCTTAAGTTTTGAGCGTTCATGAATTTCCTGAAGCTCGAAAAATACTCCTAGATTTCAAGTACTCTTCTTAGGCACTTTGGACTTCCGACTATAATGAAAGTATGAGTTCCATGAGCCTTAAAGTGCTCCCGAAATGCAAGTGTCATTAAATACTCTAGAAATTCGAATCCTTGAACTTTGAGTGCTCTGAGATTTCGTGCACCATGAATTTTTGAGTGCCCTCGGGCGTCGAATGCCCTAGAATTTCAAGTGACTTTGAGTGGCCTAAGATTTCGAATGACCCAGAATTTCCAGCGTCCTAATATTTCCAGTGCCCTAAAATTCAACGTCGAACACGATACTAAGTGCTCCGAAGTTTTCATTGCTCCCAAGCTTATCGTGAACGATACCGAGATACGAAGCGATCGTTAATGATCGCATTAACGCCGTTTATCTCGTTAATTCTATTTAAATCGTATTTTAAGCTTTGCCGTAATTCGTGTAATTGCTCGGTTAAGTGAATAAACCAGGTTTTTTTGATTCAAAGATGTTTCCCCCGTATCGACATTCGTTGTGCACGTGCATCGGTTACATAACTCGCACGATGCACTCACGTCTGCGTTCGTACGTGATTCTATTTTCGGTAGGGATGCGTGTCGTTGTCGAAACGTTGATCGACGGGCAACAATATTTATTCGCGGCTGAAACGCGGCCAATCAATTTATGTGGACGCTCGAAAAAGGTGCCGAACGTGGTCGAACGACATGTGGCTCACCCCCGCATCTTGTCATTGAACTTCGACATCCCTCGTAAAAACACGAATTACTTGTCCACTTTTAAAGATATTTGTAAGTTCTATTTTTAACCCCTTCCCGTGCGATTTATTTAACAGATGCGTCAGTCAAGACTAACTATAAAGAGCTATAACAATAAAACGAACAAAGAAAATTAAAATGTGAGTATTTTATATTCAGGGATCCTTGATAATGCAACCTAAATTGGACCTAAATTTCAAGTTGAAGAATGTTCAAAGTTTGAGTATGGCTGTAAGTGTGTCACGAGTGAGCCTCGTCAAAGTACGGGACCGGGTTAAAACGATAATAGTAAATATTAATAACACGAGAAAAGAAAAATGACAGCATCGATAAACGATACACTGCAACAGTTGTACATCAAAACAAAAGATTAACGCGGACAGCTTAAATGGACACGAGTCGTTTTCGTAACGATTACAATCGCCAAAATCTGTGCATGTATCTTTCCAGTATCGTTCAATTGATTTCGCCGTCAACTGAAACGACCGGGGATTCAGTCAACAAACGTATCACGACGAGGCTCTTTGTTTTAATCTGAAAGAACGACTGACACTTGTTCCATAACTCGAAGGACATTTCTCGGAAACGTACGTCCGTATGGTCAATTGCACAGTTGACTTTTGGCCCTTACCGCACTCTGTGCGACGCATACGATATAGCATATACCTTCGTTAATAAGAGGAGGCGGTTAAAATTACCTATTACGTGTACGCTTGTTTTCTGTATGTAGTTTCGGTCCGTAGTCTTCATCGCACGATTCATTTTTCATTTA